ACGAGTGACATCATCTAACGAGTGACATCATCTAACGAGTGACATAATCTAACGAGTGACATCATCTAACGAGTGACATCGCCTAACGAGTGACATCATCTAACGAGTGACATCACCTAACGAGTGACATCATCTAACGAGTGACATCACCTAACGAGTGACATAATCTAACGAGTGACATAACCTAACGAGTGACATCATCTAATGAGCATCACCTAACGAGTGACATAATCTAACGAGTGACATCATCTAACGAGTGACATCGCCTAACGAGTGACATAATCTAACGAGTGACATCACCTAACGAGTGACATCACCTAACGAGTGACATAATCTAACGAGTGACATCACCTAACGAGTGACATAATCTGCTGGTGGAACTAAAAGTGGGTTGCTAGGTAACGGGCTGGGCTTGGCCAGGGTTGCCAGGAAACGGCACAGCGCCATTCAATTTGAAATAAGTGGAATAATCTACCAGTACAATCAATATAACCAGTAATCTACCAGTACAATCAATATTACCAGTAATCTACCAGTACAATCAATATAACCAGTAATCTACCAGTACAATCAATATTACCAGTAATCTACCAGTACAATCAATATCACCAGTAATCTACCAGTACAATCAATATTACCAGTAATCTACCAGTACAATCAATATTACCAGTAATCTACCAGTACAATCAATATTACCAGTACAATCAATATCACCAGTAATCTACCAGTACAATCAATATTACCAGTAATCTACCAGTACAATCAATATTACCAGTACAATCAATATCACCAGTAATCTACCAGTACAATCAATATTACCAGTAATCTACCAGTACAATCAATATCACCAGTAATCTACCAGTACAATCAATATCACCAGTAATCTACCAGTACAATCAATATCACCAGTAATCTACCAGTACAATCAATATTACCAGTAATCTACCAGTACAATCAATATCACCAGTAATCTACCAGTACAATCAATATTACCAGTAATCTACCAGTACAATCAATATTACCAGTAATCTACCAGTACAATCAATATTACCAGTAATCTACCAGTACAATCAATATTACCAGTAATCTGGTAGATACTAAGGAGTGACATAATCTATATCACCAGTAATCTACCAGTACAATCAATATTACCAGTAATCTACCAGTACAATCAATATTACCAGTACAATCAATATCACCAGTAATCTACCAGTACAATCAATATTACCAGTAATCTACCAGTACAATCAATATTACCAGTACAATCAATATCACCAGTAATCTACCAGTACAATCAATATTACCAGTAATCTACCAGTACAATCAATATCACCAGTAATCTACCAGTACAATCAATATCACCAGTAATCTACCAGTACAATCAATATCACCAGTAATCTACCAGTACAATCAATATTACCAGTAATCTACCAGTACAATCAATATCACCAGTAATCTACCAGTACAATCAATATTACCAGTAATCTACCAGTACAATCAATATTACCAGTAATCTACCAGTACAATCAATATTACCAGTAATCTACCAGTACAATCAATATTACCAGTAATCTACCAGTACAATCAATATCACCAGTAATCTACCAGTACAATCAATATTACCAGTAATCTACCAGTACAATCAATATTACCAGTACAATCAATATCACCAGTAATCTACCAGTACAATATTACCAGTAATCTACCAGTACAATCAATATCACCAGTAATCTACCAGTACAATCAATATCACCAGTAATCTACCAGTACAATCAATATCACCAGTAATCTACCAGTACAATCAATATTACCAGTAATCTACCAGTACAATCAATATTACCAGTACAATCAATATCACCAGTAATCTACCAGTACAATCAATATTACCAGTAATCTACCAGTACAATCAATATCACCAGTAATCTACCAGTACAATCAATATCACCAGTAATCTACCAGTACAATCAATATTACCAGTAATCTACCAGTACAATCAATATCACCAGTAATCTACCAGTACAATCAATATTACCAGTAATCTACCAGTACAATCAATATTACCAGTAATCTACCAGTACAATCAATATAACCAGTAATCTACCAGTACAATCAATATCACCAGTAATCTACCAGTACAATCAATATTACCAGTAATCTACCAGTACAATCAATATCACCAGTAATCTACCAGTACAATCAATATCACCAGTAATCTACCAGTACAATCAATATTACCAGTAATCTACCAGTACAATCAATATCACCAGTAATCTACCAGTACAATCAATATAACCAGTAATCTACCAGTACAATCAATATCACCAGTAATCTACCAGTACAATCAATATTACCAGTAATCTACCAGTAATATTGATTTTTCTTAAAAAATCAATATTAAAAGACTTACTTAAAAGAAGCTCCTATTTCTTGCTGAAAAGTTACTTGTAAGTTAGTTTTGTCTTATTCAAATGTAATAAAATATTTGCACTAGAAAGTAGAACAAAAATACTCTTAAAGATTTTATGTTGTTCCAGTGCAGGACCTGACTGGCTGCTTAGAGGCAATTTAACATTTCGATTAAGGTGAATAAATGTTTAGTAACGATAAGTTGGGTGAATGGATGCTAAAACAAGCCACGATGCTCAGCAGCTCCATCCAAGATGGCCGCCCTCAGGGGCCGCAGGAGCAGAACGTTTCGGGAAGCCTCCAGCCTCTTTAGATAAGAGCAACCTCCGAGCAGCACAATTTCCAGATCTGTCAGAGATAGATCAGAGGGTGTTCCCCCTAATCTTAAACATCGGCACACCCGCAGGCGTCTGCCTGTGGACAGGAAATGCCTCCATGTAAACAGGAAACAGAGTTACATTTTACCGATTCACATCTCGCAAACAGCTTCTGTTGTTTGATGGGATCAGATGCAGAAACAGAAGCTAGAGTTTTTTTCAATATAATCCTGAAGTGAGCTGGGTTTGTTGGTTTATTTAAGTTTTCCTTCCTTGTCTGAAAGAAGTTCACGCTCCAACGTACGTCAGGCGGCGTTTCCTCATGAAGTAAACTCATGACACCACTTGACCCGTGAGTCCTGGTCCAAACCCAACCGCCGCCCGCCGCCCAAAGTTTGTCGCCAGGAAACTGATGATCATCCATCATCTCATTTCTGAAAGGATTTCCCTTCTACTACCTGCTGCTCTGCAGAATCAATGCATATTTCAACCAATGCCAAACAGTAGCAGTTGATTTGACAGCATTACAAAAGTATTAATTTAACTTTTTGTTACAATACAAACCACAAACTTTAAAGTGTTTTATTTGGATACAGTGTGTTGTATAGTATACAAATAACTGGAAAATGTTAAAAACAGAAATCACCTTATTTGCTCTGCAAAATTTCAGTTTTTGGCAGAAATCTGCCTCCTCTTTTTCTACCCGCAAAGGCCCCAATACGCTGCTGTACGTATTATTGGGATACAGCAGGAAAATTAAAACTAATCATCTGAAAAGTGTGGAGTGCTTTTGTATTCAGCCCTCTGAGTCAACACTTTGTGGAGCCATGTTTCATTTAAATCACAGCTGCAGTTTTTTTGACGTATGCCTCCATCAGTTCTGCACATCTTTTGTAAAAACAGGTCAAGATCAGCGGGAGATGTTGAACAGGCCATTTGTAAAGTTAAAATCAAAAATTGGCAAAAATCATTTGTATTATCTGGCCTGTCATAAAAAAAAACAATTAAAAAGTGGAGGTTCATTTGTCAAAGTTTTGTCTTTACCATGTTATTAACTAGTAAGTCACATTTTCAATCTAAATATAAAACAAACCAAATTACTTAGCTTTCTCTCTAAATATATAGTTAGCTAAACATTTAGTTTGTCACATAGATGTTTGTCTTGCTAACTAGTTACTTTGAAATTAAATATTTAGCTTTCCAAGTAAATATATAGATTACAAACTATATATTTAGATTGCTAATTAAATAGGTGGGTTGCAACTAAATACTTAAGTTAGCAAACCAAATATGTATTTTGCCAACAAAATACTTAGTTTGTTAGTTAGATATTTAGCTCACTAATTAATTATATTGTTCTGAGCTTAGTATTTGTTGGTGTGCAAACTATATAATTAGCTTGCTAACTAGTTATTTGATTTGTAAAATATTTAGCCAGTTAATAAAATATTTAGTTTAAAAATATATAAATTAATGAATAAAAAGTTGAAAATATGACTTTGATAAAAAGCTAAATAACCCAAACTATTGCTGTTAATTTCTAATTTAAATGAACAGATAATTCAAGACAGATTATCACTGTCTTAAATCAGGTTTTTGCAGCAAATAAAAGCTGCCAGCGGACGCATCAGGTCACACGGTGACACAGAAACGTCGGAGATCCTCTGCAGCAGAGAGAGTGTTTTGGCTGCTGCGCCCACTTTGGGGCGTCACGCATACCAGGCTGAGGGCTTGAGCTGGAACTGGGGCCCAAACAGATCCTATGACCGTCATCCTGCAGCTGCTGCCGCCGTTTAACATTCAGAAAGCAGCTATTTCACAGAACGACACCCAGAAGCGGCGCAGCTTTTAAAACCAAGTAAATATATTTTGACTATTCAAGTGGCACATAGCAAAAGACACAAAAAATAATCATCAAAATATGAAACATTTAAACGTCTGGAGTGTTGCTTAACAAGATTCCAGTGACATGTCACGCTGCAAATAAACAGCATAACCCTGAGTGAATGCTGGAGTGTTTGTACCCGGCCACTGGCATGTTGCAATAAACACAGGCGGCAGCTGTCTAACTAAAACTGTCTTAGCATTTAAACAGCACTCCATTGTTATGCTCTCCAAAATCAGCAGAGTGGAGACTCCTGCGTAAACCGTCCCGCCAAAACGCAACATTAAATTAAACAACCTTTCCAGAGATTAATGAGTCAGATGAAAATGTTTGAATGTTTCTGCTGCTGCTGCTTTGTTAAATTAGCTGAAAAATCACAAATAGATAATTACCTTTACTTCCCAACCTCAGTGTGTTTCCTCCAGAGGTTTAAAGGTGAGACACCTCCACCTGCAGCAGCAGAAAACAGTTTTCCTTCCTCACATCACTCTGCTGCTTTTCTCCTTCTTGTTATAATTATTACTATTTAAATCATAAATATGTTTCCCCCCTCTCTCTGCTCCCCTTTGCCCCTTCAGCCAGCTTGTTGCTCCCCTCACTGAAACTCAGGCCCGGCCCAAACCCATGGCATCTGTTGGAGGGACGAATCCAGGCAGCTGATTGGCTGGAGGCCGGACTGACACGCCCATATTTGGGCAGGGAGAGGCGGAGCAGCCTTCCAGCGATTAAAAGAGGGAGGAAAGCAGGAAAAAGTTTGACGAAGCAGCAGAACCAGGCTTGTTTAGAGAAGTGCTCATCATCATTATGAAGATGTTTTATATCATTAAAAAGAAATTAATGAAAATTTAAAATGTCAATTTAAAGGAGCTTTAGTTAATCATGCTTTTATTTGCACAAACTGCTGGATGTTTTCCAGCCACATTATGCTATTTTATAGCAGAATCAAGTAACTATGTTAACTTCAGTTGTTATAAAAATATTTTTACACACACACAAACACACACACATATATATATATACAGTATAGTATATACACCTTTGAGAAGTCATCTCAACATGGCTCCTCTATTAACCCTTTAACATTACCAACGTTGAACTGAGAAGTAGTTCCTATGATGAGCTCAGTCGCTCTACCAGGTGTTTGCTAATTGCTGCTGGCTAGTCTGAAGGAGCTGAGTGGGGGAGGAACTTCATCCTTGAAAGCGAGACTATGTCCACCCAGGTGTTTTGGTTAAATGGTTGTGATGAAGATTAAAGAATTTCTTAAACATCAAATCAAAACTCCAGGATAAATTTCAACTAAAATTCTACAAATTTTCTAGGAAAGATTTAGAATTTTTTGACTTTTTCAATATTAAAAAGTCAAAGCTTTTTTGGTGTTTGAAACTCAGAAATGTCCATGTTTTGTTTTAGAAAATCTTTTATATAAGTTTCAGAAATTCTGCAGAAAAATCTTTTCTGTAGAGAAATTTTTAATAGTCGAAAATGTTCATGTTTTTCCTAGAAAATTTCAGAGATTAATCTCAAAATTTCTGAGCTTTTTCTCTCAAATGTTCAGCTTTTTTTCAAAAAATAAAAAAATAAATTTGAGTCAAATATTGTTGACATTTGAAAATCAAAAGAAAAAAAAATCAGAGATTAATGTCAATATTTCAGATTTCCCCCCCCAAAATGTATGACTTCCAGTGCCAGAAATTTCCATGATTTTTTTTAGAAAATATTCTGAGTTTTTTTTTTGGCAGAAATTTACTCCTTCTTTACTATGTACATGCTGTCACAGGAATTCATGCTGATGATGAGTGTAGATGAATATCTGTTTATTTTACAGTTGCTGTAATCAGTGATACCAGTCATCTCTAGATGACTGGTATTTTTGTCAAAGAAGCCATTTTATGTTATGGATTTGTATAAAATAATAAAAAACTGATTTTACTGAATTAGCTCTGTTTGAGCACACGGCGACTCTCTGGTTAAGAAGTTATTTTAAGGCTAATAGCTGGAAATAGAAACAGCAGGCCTTGGATCTTATTTTAGAGAAAGTGTGATGCATTTAAGGGAGGCAGCTGCAGCTGCAGCTGCGAGCTGAATGATTTATTTTATGTGCTTAACTCTAACTAAATTTCTGCTTGGCAGCGTGAATCCTTTTGGATCCAAGTACCTCATGTGACCCAGAGAGGGAGTGTTATTTTTCCTAAATTATTTATTCAACCAGAAATGGAGCCAAGCAAAAGGAATAATGTTGCTGTTTATTTGTTAGGAACATTTAACGGCACACAGAGACCACACTTTTGAATCAAACTGTGAGAAAGTCTAATATTAGGGAATGAATGGCAGTTGGAAACAAATAAAAAAGGAACAAATTTCCACCCAAAAAAAAAAAAAAAACTACAATTTTGAGATTAATCAGAGAAACTTTTGAGAAAAATGTTGAACATTTTTTAGCTCCAAGTTTCTAATTTGCAAAAAGAAAAAAAAATGTAGCTTGAAATTAATTTACATATTTTCTAAAACAGACTTGGAAAGTTTCTGATTATTAAAAGTCAAATACTTTTCCCTTTAGGCAATTTTTATTAGTTTTATGAGCTCATCACTTACGAAACTAATAAGTGTTGAACTCATATTGATATTGAAAAGCTGATTCGCCTGATTTTGCTTTTTTTTTTTTGTCATTTTTGTCCTTAAAATGCCAAAATTTCCACTTAACTTTATATTTCATCCATCTGACTGTGTAATTTTTAAATAGTAAATGATGGATAATTTGATCCGCTACTCAGTAACTGAGTAGACTTTTTACCAAATTACTCTTAATTGAGTAAAAACATGTTGAAGTAGAGCTACTCTTGCTCTTCTCTACCTCCTCTGCTGGCCATTTCCTCTCGTTTTAAATCCGGATAGCAGCCGGTTTGTGAGGGAGGAGATGCTGTCAGCACAGATCGGGCCGCCAGCTCTCGGTCAGCTAACAGGGTCATTGTTTCAATGCAGCTCCCACACAAAGCCTGGATTTACAGGCCTTGGACCCGAAACAAGAGCTGGGAGTCACAGGGAGGCAGAGACTGAGAGTCTGATTGGTGTAAAACATAATTTTGTCATTTTTGATTTATAGTTCAATTATTTTGATGATTTCACACTGCGGTGACCTATTTTTACTGCAGGTCTCACCAGAACACAACTCTGCCGCCACCAGAACTTAAACGAGCCAGAAAATCAGAGCTGGCTGACAGCATGCAGCTCACACTGTTTACACTTCCTGTTTTCAACTGGGACCACTAGATGTCGCTGTAGAGCAGCAGTCAATTAACCTGATGAAAAATTGATAGTCACCAACAACTGGTGCATTTGTTCCCAAGCAAGGTAATTATAGTAAACTAAACTAACAAAATAACAACAACTGAAATTGATAAAACGGTAATTAATGGAGAAAAACAATAACTAACTGGAATTATTATATGTGTTTATAAAACTACTTAAAACATACTGAAATTATAGATATCATATCCGTAATTTTTCTGCTTATAAATATATGTTAGTCTTTTGAATTGATGTGGAATTGATTTTTATTTTTCCAACCAGTTTATGTCAGCTGTCGGCGCTAATGCTAGCACATAAAATGGAAAAGTTTGTTGATTGTTGTCAGTAAATGGATACAGTCTATTAAAATAGTATCTTCTGCTGAGTATTTACAACCCAATCAATGTAAACATAATCACAAAACAATACTTTTTGAATTCTGCACCTAAAACTTAACCGATGTATGAAGAAACTAAAACTACGACCATAACTATTAAAAGCTAAATCAAAACAATATTTGACTAACAAAAACTAGCGAGCACTGTAAAAACTAATAAAAACTAATTGAATTAGATGAAAACAAAAAGTCTCAACAAAATGAAACTAAACTATAATAATAATATAAAAAAACTGAACTTGGGAGTGTTTCAGCTCCCAAGTTCAGTTAATTTGATCAAAAACACAAAATGTTAAACTCAAATCCTCCACTCATCTTCAAAGAAGTTGCTGATGTTGATGCTTTCTCCAGAAGCAGTCAGTCTTTCAACCAATCTGAAGAGGCCTCTGACTGAAGACTGTTGCTGTATGTCTGATTCAACCGTCATGACAAGCTTACAGCTCATTTTTAAATTTTGATGACACCATCAGTTGTTATCAAGCTCTGCTCACCCATTTCATTGGCTTTAGATCTCTGACTGGCACCCTGGTTAGAAAGCTGCGCAGAGAGATGTTGGAGTAGGGGATATGATCTGTGATGGATGGTAGGGAAGGTTTGAACTTCCTCCTCCTCTCTCTGCTTTGCATCCATAAAGCTTCCTATTCAAGTTCTCTGGGAACTGGGGTCAGAGTTCAAGTATTATTTGAGCTTTTCAGATGCTAATCAGCTAATCCCAATTGTAAAATACATACCTTGTTGCCACGGTTACACATTGTAACAGCTGATGCTCCCACACCTCTCTCTTTTTTAAAGTAACAAAATAATTTATTCAAATTAAACAGTTGAGCTGTAACAATTAGTCAGATTAGTAGTGATTAATCGATTATTGAAATACTCATCAACAAATTTAATTATTGATTACAAGATTATACAAACAGTACATGAAGGCCGTTCCTCTAAGAAAAACAACATACTCAGAGCTGCAATTAAGCCCAAACTGTACAAAACAAGTGTTTACGAAAAGAACATTGGATTGTTGCATTTTACTGGTCATGATGTGAGGCTGTTTTCCAGGAGTTTCCCTTGGGAATATGTGATAGTTCAATATACAAATATGTTTGGTCTATTTTCTGCTCCCAACTTTCATTTCATTTGTGGGTTTCATTTCCTGACCCCAACCTGCACTTTGGAATGAGGTAGAGCAGATACTGTAATACAGGCCTTATTGCCCAACATCAATGTCTGACCTCAGAAATGGTCAAAAACTAAACAAATCTGCTGAAAGAAACAAGCTACCATATCCTTACTTTCTGCAACCAGATTTCTTTGGTGGGAGCCGCTAGAGATTTACTAACATAAATGCAACCACAAATGATAGGAGAACAAATACACAGGACAACTGGAACACAAACACTCTTGAATCATGAAGTAGTTGTTGTTTTTTTGGCTCCTGACAAACAGGAAAATACTTCAAATGTCCAAAGTTCCCTAAATTTGACATTTTACAAGATTTATAATGCCATTTTTTGCTTTAATAAAATATTAGCTCAGAGACTTTTATTTTGATAGTCCACTAAATATTTAGCTTACTCAGAACTAAGCTAATTATTTAGATATGTACTAAATAGCTGGGAAATTAATTAGTTCCTAGCCATTTAGTTGTTAGTACACTAAGTAGTAAGTGTGGACCTACCTAAACAGTTAGCAGGCATGCTATTAACTATTTAGTATGAAGCTAAATATTGGGATTGTATATTCAATAGTTAGCTTGATAATAAAATACTTAGTAACAAAGCTAGCCATTTAGTTTGGAGCTAAATAGCTAGCTTGCACACTAAATTGTAAGTTCTGAGCTAAGTATTTAGCTTGCAAATTAAATATTCAGTTGGAAACTGTTACTTTTATAAATAAATGAATTACAATGCAATATAAACCAATATTTTTTTGTCTTAAACAATCCTAAATGTTGTTGAAATCCTGCTTTGCATTTTCCACCAACACAGAAAAAGTCAGGTTTTAACAACAATATCGGTTGGATGAACAGATTCTTCTAAACATTTGTTTGTTTTTCAGCAAATAAGAAAACAGATCACACTCTTTTACGCATCGATTGCTTTGAATGCTTTTTAAATGTTATCTAAATATAAATCGATACTACCTGTATCGGAGGAAGGTGTCCATGTGACTCTGAATATCCCACGCAGACAGTCGCACATGGTCCGCAGCAGGAGGCCCGAAAGGAGGCGATGAACCGGGGGAGCAGCCCGCGCAGGCTGGCAGAGCTGTGGGAGGCCGGTGGGGCTCGGAGGCGATCAGAGGGTCGGTTTAACTGTTTGGGTCAGAGTGACACTGAGCTACAGCGTCAGCATGGACACTGAATAGCCAGACGATGACAGAGGAAGAGGGAGGAGAGTATCGTGGATGGAGGGACGCGGTACCGGTTCAGAGGCGGGCAGACTTAGCCAAAACCCGAACTCAAGGAAGATTAGCTCATGGTTTTACTCAAGAAGTAAAAGTAGAAAGTACCACCCAAGAAATTACTCAAGTAAGAGCGAAAAAAATGTAATTAGTACAGAGTAACTGTAACAAGTAACTGATTCCGGAGTTTTCTTCCAAATTTAGCTGCCGCCATTTTGGGGCAGCGGGGCGCCGCCAGACGGAGTGCCGTAATTTGTCGAGCGCTGTCGTAAACAGCTCTCAGGGGAGGAATTAATTTCACATCAGTTCAAACAATTCAAAAGGATAAGTAGATTGATAAACACAAAAATGACTCTATCTCTCTCTATCTATAATGTCGGAATGTTTTAGTTACTTTTACAGGTAACTTTAAAAGTAACTAGTTACATAGTTCTGCTAGCAGAGGAGCCAAAAATTGTACTCAAGTAAAAAAATCATTATTTCAACAAATTTTTACTGAAGGAGAAGTAAGAGTGAAACAGTATTTAGCAAAAAGTCTACCGAAGTACTGAATAACTGATCAAAATACAAATCATTCAATATTTTAAAAATGCATATCTCGGCAGACAAAAATGTAGATATTTTAAAGATAAATTTACAATAACTAATTCAAATAACAACAAAAAATAACAAAATCAGGAAAAGGAAATTTTTTCCAAATCAGTTTATTTCATTAAAAACTCACGAAACTTTCACAAAAAACTGCAGGTGTGTTTCTGGTGAATCTTTGGTTGAAACATGCTTGTGTTTCATTCAGTGCAGAAAATCTAGACATTTTACTCAAGTAAGAGTAAAAATACATCATAATAAAATTACTCAAAGTACAGTGTAAATGTAATTGAGTAAGTCTGCTCATTCATTAATAACGAATAATTATTTTCACTTTTCTTATCAAATCAGCTGACTGAGGTACGCAGTTTGCTTTCATATGTGTTAATAAGTGTCTGTTTGTTAGACATAAACAAATAAGTGTGTATAAAGGCAGAGCAGGAGCGTATTAGCAGTAGTGGACAGTCAGCAGTTTGAGGTGACGTTTTGCCAAAGCCCGGCTCCATTGTCTGCTGCTGCCGGGGGCTTTATCTGCGGCCCAGCAGGGCCTTGTTTCTGGGCTTAGAGCGGCTGGACTCTGGCTGTTATTCAGACAAAATGACTGCAAACTCACCACAAGCATGGCTGCTCAGCTGGCTGATCATTTGTGATGATTTAAGTCTGAATTAGGAGGGGAACCGAAGACTTAAACTGTTTTATTTTTTGTCTTATGTGGACTACAGCGGTTTTTTTAGTTATTTTTTTGTAAATAAATGGTTGTGTTAGTGCACGACCAGCAAAGCTAATTTCTCAACTTTGAACACTTTCAGCACTTAGCTTCCACAAAATTAATTTTTTAAAGCGCACATTTTTTTCGTCAGTTTTGTAATCTTGCAGATGGAAAACATTCAACATTTGTGTTGAAGTTTTGTTTCTTGAATGTTGAGGATTCAATAAACAAACATTCATGCTCTTATTTTGAAGGGGGTGATGACAGTTTACATAGCAGTTCAGTTTTTTCTCCTGATTGTCTAAAAAAGGTGAAAGATCATAATTATTGATTTATTGCAACCAGAGGACATACAAAACGTAAAAAGTGTTTTGAAAAAGGATTTTCTTACCTAACAAACTTTATGCTCACAAACAACTGTTGTGGTCTGGCTATTTGCTCCCTGCTCAAGCTATCAATAATAGCTGTGTTTAGCTTTGTTGTGTCTTTTTCCCTCATTTTTGTTTTATTTTGTGGCATAAATCTGAGTTTTTGGTTGTTTTTTAACCTCAGAGGAAAGAAAAAGTTTATAACATTTTGTTTCTTCTTCTGTTTATGTCCAAAAGCTCGTAGACAAAGTTTGTAGCAAAAGTGCTCAAAATGATTACTTTTGGACACAAACCTTCATTTTCCGCTTTATTTTAAGACTAACTTTCAAAATAGTTGTATTTTAATAAGAAATTGAAGGGAATAAATGAGGATTGATCTGTGCAGTTTGTGTGCAATAAGCCTCAGATAATCTGACTGCAGAGCAGCTGGTAGCTGAGTCATGTGCGAATGTTTCCTTTCTGCTGAAATCCTGAAAATCCTGTGGGTTTAAGAGACGGTGGCTCGGATGGATCAAACGGCGTTTCTTCTCATCATTCACAGCTTAAACGTCTCATCTTCAGCTCCTTTCTTCTCCCCTGCTGCAGCTCAGAATCGTTTGCTTGAAGATGCAAAATCGTTAGACTGCCAAAAATAGGAGCACAAATGAAAAACATGTAATGGAAAGCTTTATTGTTTTTATTTAATTCATGTGGAAGATGGCAGCCGCTCAACCACTGACCTACACAGATAAGTGAGAATACAAAATGGGAGGAAGGAAAACAAATGTAAATGGCTAAATTTTCACCCAAAATATTTCCATAGAAATTTTCAAGAAAAAACAGAAATTTCAGTTTGAAAGTAAAAAAAAGTTTGAAAAAACTCAGATATTTATTTTAATTTCCAAAATTTTGTAGAAAAAACAATTAAATCTCTAAGTTTGGAAAATTGAAAATTTGCTATAAAAAATGCGGGAATGTCAGAGTTTGAAAAGCAAATATTTGCTAGAAAAAAATCCACAAATTTGGAGAAATCTCAGAAATTTTCTCAAAAGAAATTCTGGGAATCCCAGAAATTTTCCTAGAAAATATTTGGGTTTGAAAAGTGAAAAACATTGCTAGAAAAAAAACTGTCATTTTGAGTTTAATGTCAGAAATCTTTGAGAAAAAAAGATATTCTGAGTTTGAAATATCTTTTCTTTTTTTTTGACTTTTCAAAGTCAGAAATGACTTTGTTTTTAAATTTCTGAGATTAATCTCCAAATTTCTTCATTTTTCTGTCAAATTTTCTAGTTTGAATTAAAGTTAGGATCTTAGCATCAGCTTCTACCAAATAAAATGCTGTGGCATGCAGTGCGTTAGCATTAGCAGAAGTGATCTTTTTAGGTAACTCCACTGCAAATTACCAAAATAAAAGCATCTACTTTGTAACTTATTTCCAGCTCAAAGGAAACAAAATGTTTTCATCCTTGGAGTCTTTTAACCTTCATTTAGTTATTCTGTCATGTTCTCCAAACTGCAAGGCTGAGATAGAAATCTAATCTACGACGGCAAATTTATGACTTTATAATTTTATTCTATAAAATTTGAAAATTTGCCAGAAACAAACTCAGAAATGTTGACATTAATCTAATAAATTTTCTTGAAAAAAATTTGAAATTTCAGATTTTGTAAAGTTGTCTAGAAAAAAAACTCAGAAATTACTAAAAATGTAATTTTTTTCTAGCAAATGTTTACATTTTCAAACTAAAAATGTCCTTATTTTTTCTATTAAATTTCTGCAATTAACATAAAAATAAGAAATTTTTCTTGCAATTTTTTAAATTCTTTAAAGTCTAATTTTTATTTTTTCTAGAAATTTTGACTTTTTCAATTCCGAAGTTTCTTACTATTTCCTACAATGAGCTTCATGTCAAATGAAACTGAAATGATTCATATAAGTCTTTTCAGTTCACATGTTACCTAAAGATGAAGCAAAGAGATTAAATAAATCCCCTAACAAAAGGTTGTTGTTTTTTTTTTCTCAAACTTTAAATGCATTAGAATCAGATGGAGTTCAGTTTTTCAGTGTGGTGGAGTTTGTTTCACCTCCAAACCTCTGGCAGGTCAAAGTGTGAGCGAGTCAGAGAGGAGGAGCCACCGGTTGCTGTTTGCACCCTCGTCACCGCGTCTGTCCACCAGCAGAACGGAACGGCAATTAAAGTGCAGAGAAAGTAAAACAACGAATAAACTGTAAAATGGGTTTATTTTGACTTTCTGTGGATGTTAGCCAATCAGATTTCAGGGTCAATTTAGCTGAAATTGAGTCTAAAATAACTGAATAATATAAAGTATTGATTTTAGTTTAAGTACTTTTATTTCTTACCAGTTTTGTCTTAATTATTACCTGTTAACAGAAGACTTTTCATCACTTCCTGGAAGAATCCTCCACACTTCCTGATGAAGGAAAATATTAATTAAAAATGTAATTCCTCTCATATTTCTTTTGTTTATTCATCTTTTATTAGAAAAATCCAACTTTTAATTGGATCATGTTCATCCAGTGTGGGATAAATGTTAGCTGGCTGCTTAAATCTTGAGAAAGCACCAACGTTTGTGACGTAAGCTTGTAGAAAACCTATCAGAACATTTGCAAACTTTCCCAGAAATAACTGGTTTGTTGAGACAAGATGGCCGAATGTTGGCGTCAAAGGAGCGTTTTATCTTTGGCTCGGCGAATTTAAACCCCGCTTTGCTCACCAGACATGTTTACTGGTCTGCAGTCAGCAGAGACTGGGTGGGCTGAGGCGATTAGACACACCCAGAGCCAGGGGTCAACAGCTGACCCTCCAAAACGTCCACAACCAATTACAGGCAGCGACTGGGAGTTTAAACTCCGGCAGTGATGTCACGACTCCGGGGAGTTTATTCACAGGCATTTCTAGTTTATTCTCTTAAATTTCTAACATTTATCTGTCAAACGGGCACAAGGGAAAAATAAACCTGTAGCAACAGCGCCTACCAGTGTTTGAAATCTGCTACTGCACCCAGACACAAAGAAAAGTAACTGGAAACTATAAACAGACTCTGGAAAGGATTATGTAGGATTTCCTTGAACGTGAAATGTGAAATAATCTAGAACCAGAATATTTTCATCAATATTAAATGATTTATTGACTTAAACTCGGAGGTCTTTCTGAAAACTTGAGCATTAGTTTTGTCTTATTTCCAGTGTTATAAGACATTTACCAAAAATATTTTAACCAAAAGTACTTTGTTTTCCCAGTGAATAACGGTTGACAGCTCTGTTTCAGGTCTGTCTGTATTATTTACTTATTGACTGGGTAAATCATGTTAAGAAACCATAAACTGTTGATGGATTTTGATTATTGTGCTAAAAAAAATACCTCATTTATAGCTGATGAATTAACTCCTTCAGGTGTTTTTTCTTGGAGAAACTTGGAGAGTGACGGTGAACACAATGTTTTTTACGGTGTTCTTCACCGTGTTCCCAGCAGAGGCGGTTTCAATGAGAACACAGCCCCTGGACGGAAACATTTAATTGACAAAACCTTCCAAAAAGCGTTAAAAGTGGTTTAAAAACATAAAATTTTTTAAATTCCAGGCAATCTTTTTATTGTGAATCCATGCAGTTTGTAATGATTTACCTTCATGTCAATGCAAAAGCCGTCCTGCTTTTGGAAATCTATTTTGAAACGCTGCAGCATCGCTTCTCTCCAAACATGGCGATTTTATCGAATAATCGGAGGAAGTGGGTCCCCGGTGGAGCGGAGCGGCGGTCGTCCCGGGCTGCGCGCCGCCATGTCCGCCTCCTTGTCGCTCCTCCTCAGGCGGAGGTTTGGAGGCAGAAACACCCGGAAGGTCTGACCGACCGCAGCAGCTGCACCGGATCAGCTGCTATTTCAGGGTCTCTTTACCACAACAGCCGCTGTAACTTGATACAACCGTATGTGATGCATTCAGATGAGCAGGAACTAGTTATAGTTAGCCTCTTACCTTCACTTAATTTGCTTAAATATACTAAATATTTAGTTGGGGATTTTGGTTGCGAACTGAACATTTAGTTCACAAGCTAAATATTTAACTTACAAATAAGATAGTAAACTAAATGTTTAGCTTACAAACAAAATATTTACATAACAAACTAAGTATTTAACCAAATATTTATTTGGTTTGAAAAGTAATTTCTTATTTTTTTAGCTCAAAACTAAATATTTACATGGCCATTTAAGTTTTTTTTGTTGTTTTTGAAATTCATCTTAAATATTTAGTTTCCAACTAAGAATTTAATTTGAAACCAAAACATTTGCTGGAACTAAATGTTCAGTTTACAAACTAAACAAGTAGTTTGAAGCTAAATAAGTAGCTCACTAATTAAATATTTAGTTTTTAAGCTTAATAGCTTGTGGCTAAACTGCCATTTGTTAAAATCTGTCCTACAGATTTAGTAGGAATCTGTTTTTAAAAAGTTTAAAAAGTTTAGTTTGGAGCTCAATATTTAGCTTACAACTAAATATTCCGTCCATCCATTTTCGAACACCCTTGTCCCTAGTGGGGTGGGGAGGCGGGGTCACCCTGGACAGGTCGACAGTCTGTCACAGGGCAACAACTAAGTGTTCATTAAGCAAATTAAATATTTAGTTTGAAATTGTGACATATATAAAATAATGAAAAACATGGTGAAAATATGAATTTGAAAAAAAAAACATTCTTCAGTCAGACTAAATAATCCAAATTATTGCTGTTCAGGTTTGACTATTGGTACTATTGGCACTCCATACTTTTACCTACATTTTAGCTTTTTTCTAGCTGAAATCACACATCGCAGGTAAAAATGACAACACAGAAAATAGTTTAAGAACTTTTATTGAAATGATTTATTGATCACAGGCTGCTGCTGCAGATAATTCTTGATATTCCCAGATATTTTATGAGATTATGCCTGGGATTATTTGCTGTTTCAATCACGTTACAACAAATACGTCAAACAGTAAAGGTGGACCAGAGTTCAAACTGCTCCTGAAACTAAAAACTCTTGCTTTGCACGGTTAATTTTAATGTATTTTACTACTGTGAAGTTGTATAAAGGAAAAAAAAATGCACTCAGGTCCTGAAAGAAAGTTTAAAAATCTCAGAACTGGAAAATGGCACCAGATTAGGAAATAAAAACGCTAATTTCCACATTGATATAGTAAAAAAATAATCAGATTTTAATCCCTGAGTTGGAAAAACTCCCAGTGATGGTGAAGCTTGAAATGCTAAAAAACTAGATTATAAAATCCAAGTAACAATAAATTGCTTTATTGTTATAAAAAACAAAAAACATTGTTCTGTTACTAAAATTCATAAAAGCTACAAAATGTTTGAAAAAGAGACACAGGATAAAATGTTTGGCCAAAATGCTTTGTCAGCGTTTTACAAACTTCAATGTGTTTTAAGTAACAGATCAGCTAAAAGTATCACATAACTGAGAAATGGAACGAAAATAAAAGTATGATGAAAGTAAAGATGTAAAAACAGAAACTTGTTAAATCCATCATCTGAATATGGAGAGAGGATGGACTTTCTGCACTGGAAAAACTAAACCTGTGTTTTTTGTCGTTTCTAGTGCTAATATCTTAGTGCACTTTAAATAAGACAAACCTAACTTTACAGCGAAATATAAGAGCCTGTTTTAAGAAAATAATTCCTTAATATTGATGAAAAATGACCAGTTCTATTGGTAGATTAGTTCACTAATGAGAAATTTTCCCCATTAAAGTAGACCAAAAATACTAGGTGAGATTTTATGTTTTTGCAGTGTACAGATGTAATTTGCAGCATAAATACCCAAAGTTTTAAGGTATTTTTGATTTACTATAAATGACCTTACAAACAACTTTTCAGCAAATAATCGACTTACTGGGGCTGAGAAAAATGCACGCCACACTTTTCAGATTTTTCTGTGTTAAAAAAACCCTTTTTTTCTTTCCCTTTCACATTTATGCTCTTGAAATCCCAGTGAAGTTTGTGTAAAACCTCCACAAAATGTGGAGGGGAAAAGTAATTCAAGGAGTAAAGATTGTTCTGTGCTTCCAGCTCACCAGAACCAGCGTTCACCCGGGTCCAAAGCCCAGGAGAACCAGAACGCCACACGTGTGCAAACGAGTTCTGGAGCGAGGGGATCAGCAGACGTGTTTGAGGTTTGCATCGTGACTGATGGGGGCGCTGTAGGCCGAGTCCCAGTCCCGCTCGAAGACGGCCTTCAGCTGGGATTGGACAGTCGGGTCCGGCGAGTTTGTCTGGTTCACGACCAGCGCCGACCCGGCCGTGTTCAGGAAGTAGTCCCCCGACCAGTTAGACGTTCCTGAGGACAAAACACACATATTAATATACTTCATTTCATCATTTTAACCCTCTGTAAGAAAATGAAATCTCTCTGGGCATATAAAAATAAAATCACTTTTTCTTCTTTCCAAATTCGATTTCCAGTTTTAAATGTGACTTATTGTCCTTGAACCGGTCAAGGCAGATTTATGGTCTACACAAAACATGTTCATCACATTTGTTTTGCCCACAATCATTCGGAGTAAATGAAATTTCAGCTGTTTTGGGGCGTCCTGTCACTTTAAATCTAGGTCAGCTGCTGCTGGCCACACCACCGAAACTCAACGTTTACACTCGCTTGGAGTTATGCAATCTTCATACGTGTTTGAAAAGCAGAAGTTGAGCCTCCTGCACAACCAATAAAAATACAGAAAGTGGTTTCTGAATAGTAAGTCAACAACAAAATACTTGTCTTGTCAAGTATTTATACTACGCTGTACTTTGTGTAATTATATTATTAAGTAGCTTTACTTTTCCTTGAGTAAAATTTCTGGGTTTTCTACCCACAAAACACGTTTTAACCTAAAAATGCACCAGACTCAAACACAAACTGCACTTTTTAAAGTTTCATCAGTTTTTTTATTGAAGGAAACTGATTTAGACAATTTTTAATTTGCCTAATTTTCTTATTTTATGTTTAAACTTATATAAATTTCTGTCATTTTTGTTTTTAAAGTACCAAAATTCCCACTTAACTTTATATTCTGGTCCATCTGATGATGTCATTTTTAAAAGTTAAATGATTGATAATTTGATCAGTACTTTTTATCAAATACTTTTTTACTCTTTATTTTAACTCCAAATATAAAGAAGCTGTAAAACAAGATGGCCGCCCTGTCGTCACTCTGAAACCCAAGTGAATTGGTGAATTTTTTTTTTTTTTTAAATCCATATTTTCCAATAATTAAATCATGAAAACCAAAGATTAAATCAGTGGATGTGCCACAGGTCTTACCAATATACGCCACTTTGTCGGTCACCATGTACTTGTTGTGGTTCACTCTTGCGTAGGGAATCTCTTCCTGCCTCGGGTCGGCGGGAACCGTAAACAGCCTCTGAAAACCCGACACGGTTACTGTAGGAACCAGCCCAGCGTCCCGCGGCTGTGTTCTTCAGGAGGAGGCGCCACTCACCACCTGGACGTCCAGCTTGGTTCTGTAGTCGTGAACCGAAGCCAGAGACTTCAGGAAGGGCAGCATGACGGGCGGAGAGTGAGGCCAGCAGCTGATCAGCAGGCGAACTTTGACCTTCCGCTCGTACGCAGACCGCCTCAGCTGCGTGTCGATGTCGGCCCAGTACCTGCACACAGCGCAGAATATCACACCGAAAATGGATATTTTGTGAAATTACAGAAGGGAGACGGAATGATTTTTACATTTATCAACTGTAATGAGTTTTAAAAACTAGACGCACAAGTTTGCATTTATTCATAAGATCAAAATTACGACAAAGTATTAGCTAACAAAAAACTTTAATACCAGAATAAAGACATAATATTACACAATAAAGTCCTGAAATCAAAAGAATTATATTTTTAACAGAACCAAGTTGTAATATTACAAGGATAAAATTTTTATACTTCAAGAATTATGTCGTAATATTGACAGAATAAAGTTGAACTGTGGTAAAATTAGGAATATTGTGCATCTTATTTAGTTATACTTTAGTATAGGTTTTATGAATAATTAAATACTAAATTTGTTCACACGTCATCAGATTATTATCAGCATCAGTTTGTGTTTGCTGCTGATAATCTGACTAAATTTTGGCTGATCTTAGCCTTTCAATTTGATCGATTGGCTTAAAAACTGAAGACATGGTGGATCAAAAGTTATCAAAATTAAATATTCTAACTTTTATTTACTTTATTTACCTTTTTTTTTATTATTTTCTTCTTTTTTATTTCTTATTGGCTAACATAATCCACATGATGCTACCGCTAGTGTTGCTAAAATCCACTCAGCTTTACCTTTTCGGATGCGTATACTCTGTGGTGGGCAGGTAGTTCATGACAGCGATGTAGATGAACTCCTCTGCGTCATCAATCACGCTGAGAAGCGACTGAAGATCTGGAGTCCTGCCGGCGGCGCAGAAGGACAGAGGAGAGCTCTGAACGGCAGAGGAGAGTTAGCAAAACAGGAAACAGGAAGTAGGGGTCTGGTGTTACTGGAATAAAAGCTGATCCTCACAGAGAGGTAAACGCTGGACGGCGTGCTGTTCAGCGGCAGCTGGAGCGGTGTGTCTTTGTTGTACAGCGTGGAGAAGGTGGACGGCCACGGCGACGGGATGGACTCGGTCCCTCCAACCAACCAATAAGCTTCAAAGATCTTCTCCAGGTCTGAGGCCAGGCAGCTGCAGTTGTAGACGACGGCTCCCAGCTCCTTCACCTGGACAACCGTGGAGCCAAAATGTTTCACGGGAGAATCTGGATTAAACAGGGCTGGTTTATACCAGCCCTGTTTAATCCACTTTAATCCAGCTCCTGTCCGTTTGTCTAGAAGGTCCGGTTCGGTTGTGGAGGCCTGAATCGAACCAAAGAGCGAACTCTGGTTCACCTACAAACCCCAGTCTTGGTTCAGTTGAAGTGAACTCTAGTTCGGTTCAAATGCACATGTGAATGCCAAGCGGACCAGAGACCGCTCCAAAAGCAGGAAGCGGACTATAGGGCATTCTGGGTAAATACACCCAAAAGAAACATGCTAGGGTAGCGCTAGCATTCGAAATAACTTTTGATGTTTAACCAAAGACAAAAGAAAAATCCTACAGTCGCTAAAATCCGATGCCACTCCATTTCTGTTTACATTTCAAGAAGAAGGCAGATGGGCTCGGCGTCTTCTTCAGAGGTTTTCTGTGTCTTATCCTTCAGTGATTCTTGGTGCAGCGCCAACTTAAACTACAATACAACAATAAAATAAAATTTCAAGAAACTTAAGTATAAATCTTACCACGCTAATATTGATCGGATATTGATATGGACTTGGTATCAATATTATTGATATTTTGTATTGATCCAACCACCTTCACTACTTGGTTGTGCAGAAGGCTCTACTAATGCTTTTTACGAAGATATACAGTTGTATAATTGCAGCCATTTTCTCTCTAAAACAGCTTAAGATAGGCAGAACTGAGCAGAATGAAATCTCAGTATCTAAGAATGTTTTAGTGGAAAAATGTAATAAACATGTTTTGTATAGGCCACAGGCCTATCCTGAGCATTTCAGGCAGTCTGGCTGTACCTGCGTCAGGGACCTCCAGTCCATGTTGGCGCTGCCGATGTAAATGTGCTTCTTGTCGACGACCCAGAACTTGGTGTGAAGAACCCCGGTGGTGAGCGCCCTCATGTTGACCGTCCTGACGTCGGCGCCTGAAACACACCTGGGCTTTAGCAGGCGCTCTTTGGTGATAATCAGATTACAGCCAATTATTCTTAAGATACGCCAATAGATGTGAAGTTAGGGGAGCCTCGGTTATAAACTGATTTTTCTGTGAAGAGAAACTGCAAAGTGATTGCAAAAAGTTGTCCTATGTGTGGATTTTTTGTTGTTGAAAAAGCTGAAATATTCGAAAGAAAATGCAGCAGGAGAATCTGAAATACCTGGGAGAAACGCTAGCACCATTTTGTTTCGCTTTGGGCTGATTGGCTGAACGCACAAGAGAGGAAATGAGGGAAAATGTGGAGCTAAGCGCTAAGATGGTTTCCAGAGAGCATCAATGCGTATCAAAGAATATTTGGTGTTTTAACTATTAAATTAGACAGCTTTCATCATTTTTTAGAGTAAATTTTAAATATTCACAAGCCTTAGATATTTCTGTATACTGAGAGTTCACTTCTGAATAAATATATGATTTATAAATGTAATAACATATAAAGGCATACTTTATAAATCACAAAAAGGCCAAATTGTTTTAATTAGTGGTTGGACTCAATCAAAATTTTAATTAAGTTAATAGCAAGATTTCTAATGAATTAATCACGATTTAATAAAGCTATATATCAACCACATTTAGTTTATTCCAGCGTCTTTATGAGCTTTTCTATTGACTTATCTGTAATCCCTCTGAGATAAATATCCAGAAAAGAGTTTGCTGCTTTGATTTTCATAATGTATTATTATTATGCATAACAAAGTGACAGTACAATTAGCTTGTGCACTTTTTTTCTAGAATTCAATCTCTTAAAGGGAAATCGCCAAAAACGTTGCACTTCAATTAAAAAGCAAACATTAACTGGTTTTTAATGTTTGGTTAAAACCAGTTTTGCAGCCGCTGAAGGTAAATGAATCACCTGAATCGTTGAGCAGTTTGAGGTCAGCTTGTGGTTTTCCCTCCTGCGAATCGACCGCAACCCGAACGTCAAGCTTCCCGGAGAGTTCAGCCAGCCGCTTCAAAACTTCCTCCCCCTGCGCAAACAGGAACCGTCGTCACACACGACACTGCAAAAACCAGGAAATCCTACCAAGAGTTTTTTGGTTTAATTTCTAGTGTCACCTAGAAAACTTGTCATCAGACAAAGCGCACTTAAAAAATAACTTCATCGAGAAAAAGGAGCTTATTTTAAGTCAATGTTTTCTTAATATCGATGAAACGGTTCCAGTTTCATTTCTAGAATGATCCGCTGAGCCGTTACCTAGCAACCCCAGCCAAGCCCAGCCCGTTACCTAGCAACCCCAGCCAAGCTCAGCCCGTTACCTAGCAACCCCAGCCAAGCTCAGCCCGTTACCTAGCAACCCCAGCCAAGCCCAGCCCGTTACCCAGCAACCCAGTTCTAGTTCCACTGGCCGATTATTTCACTTCTAACTAGGAGAAAAATGTTTTATTATGCACTAAGAAATGATTAACTTAAAACAAACTCTGATATTATGGAAACATTGACATTTTGAATGTTTTTTTATTCACTATTCAATAAATATTACATCAATTTAGCATAAGTGCTAACATCATACCGACTCATTTTAGACGGTGTGGGAGAACATTTTATCATCAGATAATATCTTTTTTCAGCACAATCTTCTCTTTTTATTATAAGAAAATATTTAATATTTTACATTAATTACATAAATTACATTTTTTCCCACAGTTCTTATGTTTTTTTTTTTTTGCAACAGATCGTTTTTTTTTGTTTGTTTTCTTTTTGTCTTTTCTTGCTATGCGAGCTTGAGGAGCAAAGCGGCTTGATGAATTTGTCTAGTGGCCAATCAGAGAGTGAGCATGAAAATAAGATTTAAATAAATTATTTTAACTTGTATTTTACTTTTAAAAATTATGAGGAACATTTTAAGATTAAAACAGGTGCCACAGCGCCCCCTGGCGGGATCCACTTTGAAAAACACATTGCCATTTATACTAAAAACAATATAAAGTTCTGTGTAACATTTAGTGTTTTTGCAGTGTAAAGAACCTTGGGTTGGCTCTGACCTGAGAGGCTGAGGGTTCCTGAGTGCCGGTGTCCTCGTTAGTGAGCGTCCAATAGAAGGAGGCGATGTCGACGCTGCTGCGCGCCTCGCTCATCAGGCGGACCCACGCCTGGAAGATGGAGGGGTTGCTGGTGCTGGAGTTGAACTCCATCCCCTCTGGGATGCTCTCCACCAGAACGATCCTGATGGGGTGAAGGACAGGAAACAGCCCAGAAATTACAAACCGTCACAGAGTTTTACAGAAACTCCAGGTAAAGGCCTTCCACCTGCGAAACTTTACATGTTTTCTAGCAAACTTAATCAGGGAATATTGAATTTTTTTTTGTATTGGAAATATGTAAAATTAATCTCAAAATGTAAGATTTTCTTTGGAACAAATTTACTCATTTTTCTTCCCATTCATCTCTAATTTTAAGTAGTAAACACAAAGCTTTTTTTGTGTTCATACTAAACTTTTCCACTTTTGTCAAAACTTGAAACTTCAAGGCGTTCTATTTGTATTTTAAAATACAGACAATGTAAATGTCAATGTAAATGATTTGATGTTCTAATTAAAATGCGCTACACCAAAATAGCATTAGCGAGAGGAAGCTAATGCTAAAATGCTAAAGTCAGACAAGTCGACTCCCATCACTTCAAAGATGTTTGTTCACAAAGCAGCCAAGTAAATTCATTTAGCAGAAGCTAAGTGTGCTAAACGTTTTCAAAGTTAGCAAAAATGCTAAAACAAAGGACAGGATGGCTAAAACATATCATGACATAAGCTTTTTATATGGTTATTGATAATCATCGATTAGGTTTTTTTGTTTTAAATATCTAAAATACTAACAAACTGGTGGGATAAAATCCTTCCTGTTTCATCCCCAGTTTTCGCTTCATATTGTTGTTTTGTTTATTTTGAGGGATGGTGACAAAACCCTAAACGAGTCACTCAACAGGCTGTTGCCAGGCAACCAAACAGCGACTAAGTTAGTTGATTCCACCAACTTAACTAAACATTTCAGCTAGCTTGTCCTCTGCCTACATCTCCCAGAATGCCATGTGGCTCTTTGAATATCCTATTATCTACTGATATTTATGCAATCGTAAATATATCTTTATTGAGTTATTTTCCAGCATTACTAAACCGCTAAGTGAAAAAGTAGCTGCGCTCCTAGCGAATTACTGCTAATGTTAGCGTCTTTGCTTACTTGCAGGGGTCTGAGCAGGACTCCACTGTCTCCTGAAAGCGGCTGCTGATGGAGGCAGGATAGTGCAACGTTGACCCTGCCGACTTCACTGACCCCGCTGACCTCGCGCTCAGGATGTTGTAGAGCGCCATGGCAGCCAGAAGCACACAGGCCACGGCGGCCAGAGCGATCTGACACCTGGCGAACTGACGGAGAAACGGCTGCAGTTATTTATTTGTCTATTCTGTCCTGAATCAGAGCAACAGACTGAATCCGAGGAGAAACTCACCAGCTGTGCTCTGCGGGAGAATTCCTGCCGCCGTCTCTCCGGATCCACCATCTGCACACAAATTCACTCGATTACACTCAACTGTGTGGGATTTTCATATGAAGCTGGGTCTGGAAACTACTATCAACAATACGGGTTAGATGACACTTTAGCTTTGTGAGAAGTGAAAACAGTTACGTGACTGAAACCTCCCGTCATTTCACATTTTCATAATTTATCAAATCAATAACTTCCTGTTTTAGCAGAATGATCTCATGACTCTTAATGAAACATAAAATACACTTAAAGAACAAGAACTAAGAGGTTTAAAATGCTCTAATACACAGAATTATTAGCATATTAAAATATTTTAAATGATTTACTGAGACAGATCGAGATTTTAATCAACAGCAGCTCATTAATATTCATTTAGATCAAACACATTTTAGAAAGTATAATATAATATCTTGTACTAATATAAATCGAGGAACAAAACTACAATCATGTTCAATAAATTAAAAATAAGTCGTAGTGTTTGTCATATTAAATACTTTTTAATACTTAAGCAAGTATTAAAAGTAATTAATCTAATCAAGGCTACATTTCTGTTTTTAAAGATACATATTTTGAATGGCCTGATACAATATTACAATTTTAAATGCCACGTTTTTATTAGCCGAAAGTGAAAAATTATCACAATTATCTGAAATAAAGGCTGTCAAACATAAATCTGTGTGCATTAAATCAACATAATGTGTTTTAATAACTGATAAAGTTAATAACATATTTTTTTTCAGTAATATTCTAATTTATTGTAATGCCTGAAGAACATGGTTACCTGGTTATAGGTGACGTCCAACTTCATGTTTATGTTTCTGTCCAATATTTCCCAAAGATTCCGAGAGAAAACATGAAGAAAATGAAAAATATTTCACATTTTTCAGTCAAACAACAAAAAAAACAATAAAAAAACCCAAAGAGAGTGAGAACAAAACAGAAGCAGTTCTGTTCTTTCCAAACACGACAAACAGAAGTTTCCAGGCGTTTGAAACAGAAAGACGATCAACAAAGACACACAGCTTGTTTTGTTTTTAGATTTTCAGCCACAGTCATTTTTTTTAACACAATGAAGTAACCATATTACCTGGCGTTGTTGTAAAAGTGCTACATAGAAAACATGACTTAAAAGAAATTTGACTTCCTGATTCAACACCTTGAAATTGGGCCTTTGTCTCTTTCTGAAACTCCACCTTCACTATCACTATAGCGCTCCTGTACGAAAGCTGCAGAATGTACAGTTTGTAAAACAAACATATTTTTAAAACTGTCACTATGTTATGACAGTATTGTAAGTATAATCTGTGAAAAAATTGAACTCCTCAGTCTTCTCTGAGTTCCAACCAATCAGAGCAGGGAGGCGGGTCTTAGCGCTGTCAGTCACTTTCTGTGCTACACTACAGCTAGCATAGCTTGTTGTAAACGCTATGCCATCTGTTACCATAGCCACAGACGGCAGCACATAAACGGCTTTTCTGTAAGTTGTTTCTTTACCATTAGCACATTTAGCAGTGAGTACATGAGGATGATTGACAGTGTTAGGCCCCTCCTCCTGCCTCTGAGCTGCTGTTGGCTAGTCTGCAGGATTTCTTAAATATGCAAATGAACACTTCAGGTTTGTTTTTGATTATGTGACATTGTAATATTATGTGAAGCTTAAAAAGAGTTAATTTGACATAATTCTGCCCGGTTTAAGGAAGTGGGGAAGTTCAGATGCTGACAGCAGGAATGTGCCACTTTAAAAGCCCTGAGGCGGCAGTCACAAGAGAAACATGTGAGGCATCTCTGCAGCTGGAACAGGACTACTGCAATTAAATCAAACTGTTGTTTCACTTCAAAAAACAAACATCCCGCCATCCTCCAGTTATTAAAAAAAACATATTATGATCCAGCTTCTACTTCTGCTAGAATCTAATGTTCTACCCCGTGAACAGATTCAGTGAGAGGAATCTGTTCTCCTTTAATGTGTTTATCTAAACCACTGATGTGATGGAAATTTTTTCAAGTTTTGAAAATGCACTAAAAAAAATATTTTACCAAGTAATTTTGGTCTAATATCTCGAAACACTTGAAATGAGACAAAACTAACTTACAAGTGAGATACAAAGGTTGTTTAAAGTAAACAGTTTCTTAATATTTACGATAAAGGTCAACTTCCACAAGACGTTTTTTTCCCGTAAGTGGAATAATCTACCAGTGGAAACAGTACTTTAAAAAAAAATCAATTATTTACCTTAAACAAGTTCATATTTCTTGCTGAAACGTTATTTGTAAGTTAGTTTTGTGTTATTTTATTGTACTAAGACATTTGCACCTGAAACTAAACCAAAAATACTTGGTAAGACTCTCGTGTTTGTGCAGTCTGCAACTTTACCTTGCTGCCCGTAACCTTAATTGTAAGTCTTCCCTGGGTAAAACCACATGTCTGTATCTGTTGAGCATAGTATAAACACTCAGTCCTGTGGCAGCTATTTGCTAATTCATTGAAATAAAAAAAAAATGCTTTATTCATTCTAAAATAATAACTCATTTGATCTTCAAAGAGTTGCAGTGGATAGTGAGAAGTATTTCCAGTAGCAGCCAATGGATCCAACTGAAGACTGCTGCAGTATGAGTGTCTCATGACTGTCATCACATGCTAACAGCTCAATTTCCAAGCAGAGGAAATCATATTTTACTGTAATAAGTCCTGAGTGACGTCATCAATTGTTGACGAGGACTTTATAATCTTTGTCTGGCTAAAAATCTGAAATTAGTTTTTGAGTACTTAATCTGGTAAGTATAACTCCCAACACATTGTTTACGAACTGGAACTAGAAAATCCCAATTTATAATAATTAACATGTTGTTTACATTGAATTGAGGAACGAAAATAAAAACAAAGGAACTATGACTAGAGTTTTTCTGACTTGTGATAATGGGCTGCGAATTGACTCAAAGCTTACTGCATTTGGCAGTAAGTGAGAAACAATCCGGTTTACCTTATAGCTATAAATTAATCCAAAGTGAGGAAAGCAGCTTTCATTGTTTACTTGAGATCAGAGGAACGAAAGTCGCTGACAGAGCAAAACCATAAAAAAACATTCACTTTCAGTTGAAAATAATGATTAAAAACTCCCAACTCACCGGTTAAAATGCGTTAAAAGTCCTTGGATAACTGCGTCTATGTGTTCTCTTTAAACACAATGACGGCTAAATGCGCGTTTAACTGACAACACATTGAAAAGACAGAAGTTAAGCGCTGTATCTGTCACAGTTCACTGCTAGCTTCATACAGAACTGACAACAGAGAGCTGGGCAGGTGGTCATGTGAGCCGGCGAAGCAGCCAATCAGAACTGAGACTGCACCGTGACGTAATCCACATTAACTATATCACTTTTGACCACGTGAGGCCGCTGTTTTACACTACTCGATCTTAGCTGCACTTTTGAATAGTGAAAGGTGGGCTTTAAATATATACATATTTACATGAAATAAAACGAAATCAAATGAAATATTTATAAATTCTGAACATAATGGTCCTTTTTTTCACAGGGGAGGGTTATTTTTAAAATCTAGTTTCCAGCAGTGGAAACTAATCAGCTTTTTCCAAAGCATTATGTAGTTTTCCACAAAGTATATGTAAATTTTCTCTTCTTTCTTTCCAGAAAGAAAATATCAAAATATAGTTTAAGTGCCCAAATTGTCAAAATAGAAAATATTTTTATCATCCCCTGGAAAAATATGGACGTTTTTCTTCATTTTAAAGGCCAATAGTACAAAATAAAATGGCACTTCTTTATTAATGACAACAAATTTCTGGTAGTAGATTATAAATTGTCTTTTTTCAAAGCGCATGTAGTTTTTATACGTCAATATGTTGAATTTTCCTTCATTCTGGAAAAAAAAACATCTAAAAATAAAACTATTTTTTTCAATTTGTAAATGTTTCAGTGACCAAATTGTCAAAATAGAAAATATTGCCATAATATTTTTGCAAAAGATTTATGTTTTTCTTTATTTTAAAGTATTTACAAAATAAAACGCAATTTTTCTTCTTTACAAAAGAAAATATCTGACAATCCACATAAATATTTACATTTTAAATGTTGAATTGCCAAAAAAGAAAACATTTCCATGATCATTTGCAAAATAATTTTCTTATTTTAAAGGGCAACAATACAAAACAACATGAAGATTCTTTAAAATAACAACAAATGTTGTTTTTTCCAAGCTTTATGTGGACACTTATGAAGCATTATTGAGCTTAAATGAGGGCAAAAATCCACCTTTATTTCCAGATCAAACTGCAGAAACACGTCACTTCCCGTGGCGGCCAGCAGGGGGCACCAGAGCGCAGGAATAAACCGCTGAACCTGGAGATGTTTCGTCTAACAGATGAGGTCATTTCCACCAGCAGGTAACAGAAACATCCAGGTAAAACAGAGGAATGCGCCTTTATTTAAAGGTGATGAATGGCCAGTTTGCTTTTGTTGGCGGTGAAACCAGCAGATTGATAAGAAAGAAAGAAGAAGAGAAATTCCAGGTTCACACATGCAAACACACCTGCTTCCTGTCAGCTTACAAACCAATGAAATATCAAGCTGAAGGTGTGTAGCCACAGAAACCAGGTCAGAATAAAACCTAGACAGTTTTATTATTTTACAGCAACACAGACAGACTTATAGTGAGGCAATAAAACACCGGCAGGTTTCTCTTCTGCTGCACATTCATTTTGTTACTGTTATTATCCCCATTGAGTCTCATATTTTCTGGGATAAATTTGACGTGTTTGTTTCCATCGTTTTGTGAGTTAAAGCGATTTTTTTCCTTCTGTTTTCCTGACAGCGTTGCTTTCAGGTTGTAGGCGTGTTTGTGTCCCTGTGACTCTGCCGAAGGATTGATCCAGAACTCAACTGTGGCTCAATTTTTATTACCAACCCAACTTCCTGTTTTTTGTTTTTTTTTTGTTTTATCCATTTCTGCTTCTTACGATGCGTTTTTAAAAGTTTACATGGACACAAAACGTCTTTAAACACAACCAGAGCTAAAATAAGACATTAAGATGGTATTTTAGCACCGTCAGAGGCGTTTTTAATAAATAAGCGTCGGTTGATATTGTTTTATTTCTATTGTGTGAGGATTATTTATGGCTGAGATGGCCATAAAACCCTGTGACATCACTACAGCAGGCTGTAATGGCTGGTGACGGTGTACATGGAAACAGGAGCTATTTTAGGCCACCGCTTTGTTGTCCCAAGGAGATAATACTTTTCTCTTTCTTCTCATTTTAAACCTTAAATAAATGCTTTAAAGTAAACATTTCTGATCTGAATGAATGCTAGGTGAGACAAGAAATGTGGAAATTAAGATTTTTTACTCTTTTTCTGTTACAATAAACCCCAAAATGTCCATAAGGAGAAGTTCTGAGCTGCTGCAAACAGAAAATAGGAATTTTTCCACTTAGATGATAAAAAAATGACGGTATTCATGCTTTTACTCTCAATCAAAAGTATAACTGAAGTGCTTTTTGTTTGTTTAGTTCAATGACGGAGTTCTTTTTTGGGGTGTGGCAGCATAACAGCTTTATTCAGTTATTTATTAATTACTTTATATCAAATGAAATCAACTGAAATGACCAAAGTGTTGCACAAAAATATAAGAAAAAAGACAATCTGTGCATAATTTTACTTAGAAATAAACCACAACTGATTAAAAATTAACAAAAATAATTCAAAAGCAGGTTTCCTGAAGTTCTACTCTAAAAAAAAAGTTAAAACAACATTTGAAATTTGTTTTGGTTTTTAATGAAAAACCAAAGCAAAGAACTGCTTGAGTTGACATCAAATTTTAAATAGATGGAGAAAAATAAAACCTAAATTCCTGGTTTGGGTCTGAATAATGTTTCAACGGTTCGAAACGGGATTAAAAATGTGTTGACCAAAAACAGGCGTCTCTGATTTAAAAAAATAGATTTTACAGTGCGGAGTCGTCAGGACTCAAATAATAAACAGGACAAAACAGATTTCTATTTAAATTTGTTTTAAAATTTTAACAACTTTTTGTAAGTGTTGCATTCAAATATGGCAGAAAACAAATCAGAAAAAAACATTGAGTTCTGTTGGTGCAACTGATAAAAATGCTTTAATTTCTCAAAGCCACCTACAAAATGTTGACAAATATCTAAAAATAAAACAAATTTTTAAATGTTTAAGTACCCAAACTGTCAAAGTAGAAAATATTGCCATCATCATTTAGCAAAATATTAATGTTTTTCTGTATCTTAATTGTCAACAATTCAAAATAAAATGGCAGTTTGTTAAAAATTGCAACACATTTTCTGTAAATTGTCATTTTTTCAAAGTGTTATGTTGGTTTGCACCATAAATATGTAGATTTTTTTCTTATTTCTGGAAAGAAAAGATCTACAAAAACACAAACTTTTAAATTTTTACATTTTTAAGTACCCAAATTGTCACAAAAAAAATCCCAATAAACTATTTCCTCCAGTAATGCAACTTTAGGCCGGCAGCGTTGTCCCGGACCAGTTAACAGGTTTAGTACCTCTGCTGTTAACTAAACATCTTGTATGATAAGCCTCTTAAAGCAACATGCGTTCACACCCACATCAGGTAACACTCTGACTCATGTTCCTGTTTAGGGGTGGAGACAACGGAGGAACAAAGAAACATTAGTCTTCAGCATTGATCCGTTGTTCCCTCTCTCTCTCCGTCTTTGCCTCCAGGATCTCCGGAAAGCTGCTCACCTGTGCAGTTAAAGGATGCAGAGACGGAAGCGGAGCGCGCCGCTATAAACCGGAGCCGCCGCCCAACTGGCTGTCAGGTGTGCCTCCGCATGGCATTCCTGGATGATGTTCCACAAGCGGCAGGCGGCGGCTCGGGTGTCGTAAACACCTGTTGCTACGGCGCCGTGCGGCTCCAACACACAAGATCCACCACAAAAACCGATCATTTGAATTTGTGAGTGGATTTAAAGTGGCAGCATTTAGTAAAATTGACTTTTTTTGAGCTTTACATCAAGTTATAATGCAACAAACACAAAGTTTGATTCTTTCGTGCGTGCTTGAGAAATCCTTTAATCTCCATGGCAAACATTCAGTTGAGCTAAATGCCTGGTTGGACCTAGCTCCTTTAGACTAGCCAGTAGCAATTAGCAAACACCTGGTGAATATGCTGAGCTCATTATCACAGCTACTTCTCAGACCCTGTTTACATGACAATGATCCAATGAAAACTGAATTTTTGTTCCATTTCTGTAAACACATGAAGTGTGTTTACAGAAATTAACACATGAAGTGTGTTTACAGAAATGGCTAGCGCTGGGCTAGCCTAGCGCCAGTGCTAGAAATGGCTTGTGGTCTTTAGCAAAAGACAAAAGAGAAATCCTAAAACTGCTCAAATCTGACACTACTCCATTTTTGTTTACAGTTGTGTGTTCACTAGCTGCATTTCCATTGTCAATATATTTAAACAATTTGACATTTTGAAAATAAATTTGCTTCATGGAACCATGCCAATTTAGAAAAAGAAAACCTCGTTTTTTGATCAAATGTTTTGGCATGACGATGAGGCAATTATATTGGCTGTACCCATATTAGTATATTTCACAAAACTGCAACGGCAATACTTTTTTTTGTACTATATAAGTCACATAATCAACAACAGGATGTTACTGACGGAAATGTCAAAGAAGACGACAACAGGAAGTAGTGGGATGATGGAGAAACATGTTTTTTACTGACTTGTAACGTTTATTTGTAGCAGTAGAGAAATATGCTGGTAAAAAATTCCTTGAAGTTATTCCACAGTTAACAGGTGTGACGATATTATCCGGTTTAAGGTGTAAAAGTTGCTGTTTCTCCTTTGACTCACCTGGACAAAAGCAGGTAAAAAGCCAAAACAGTGAGCAAGCTGGAGCTGTAACGTACAAGGGTCGGACTCTGGAACACAGCCGATAAATTAGAGCCCAGAAATGATGACATCAAATTGATTTTGACAGAGGGCCAGTTCGTTCTGTTCCCCTTCAACTCACGTCTGCCTGGGCTGGACTGCATGACCAGGTGTGGGCGATCCTGGTCACAGAGTGTGTGGATGTGGATGTGGGGGTAGAAAAGGGCAGAAGAACAAGCTGTTTGCCCAGAGATGAACTGCTGAACCACAGACTGGGTGAACTGTAAGGTGATAAAACGTTTAAAAGTCCTTCATAAATAATTTAAGCCTGAATCGACCAAGAGAGCAACTTAAGGTGACCTATTACGCTTCCTGCCAAAGGTTAGTGGCGATACAGAACAT